GAGGGAGTTGGCAATGTAAGGAGTCATCTCGACACCGCGAGCGCGCATGTCGAGGAGAACAGACTCGGTGTCGGCAATCTGGTGGTTGGCAACCATGGCTTCAAACAGCGCCTGGTAGAGACAGGCCTGGGGACGTATGCGGTTGTCGATAAGAACGGTGTCAAAGAGGTTGCGAGCACCTTCCATATCGTGCATCACACAACCCTTAGCGTGGATCAACGAGGAGTAGTGAACAGCCTCCGGGACAGCACCAGCACTGCGGACTTGCTCAAGTACCTTCTCTGCAGCTTCCATATCAACAGGTTCAAGCGTGGCATAAGTGTCGATCAACAGCTTGTAGGTGTGAGTAGTAGGCTCAATGCGCTTAGCACACATGCGCTCGTAGTAGCTAAGAACCTTGCTGCGGTCGCGCTTGGTGGTCAGGAAGAACTGCATCATGCTGTGATAGGGAGCAGGGCGAGGCTTGTAGTTAGGCATGCTCTCCATCTCCTCGAACAGCTCCTCGGCAAACTTCTCGTCACTGACACGGCACAGTGCGTTGACAATGGTACCGTAAGTAACAGAGGTAGGTCGGATACCGAGGTTGCGCATTTCGGAGAAGTAGAAGAGGCAGTCGTCAATACGGCGAGCCTTTCCAAGCTTGCCGATAAGGGCATTGTAAAGGAAGGACGAAGGCTCAACACCCTCGGCCTTTGCGCGAAGGAAGATCTTGACAGCTTCGGTTGCCTCGTCAAAGGTCTTGGTAGACTCCTTGAGGGTAGTGATGTAAAGACCAAAGGTGTTGGCAGTAGGGGCAGCGCCCATCTCAAGCAGGTCCTGGTGGTACCTTCCAGCGAGATCACGCTGATTGCAAGTAAGGCAAGCAGCGACCATTGCGTCCAGAATAGTAACCCAACCGTATCGAACGATACGGTATTGCGGCAGAAGAGGAACGTCCTGCTTGGCGAGGTTCAAGATGTCGTGAGCCAGATTTAAACGGTCTTCCTTTGCAGCTGCAGTGATGAGCTTAGCATAGGTAAAGAACCTGGGGTGGCGGCCAGCCCGGCGCATGTTCCTGAACTTCATCAAAGCCTCATTGAGGTGATTGGATGACCGTCCGTGAGTCTTCTCGAGCAGCTCGGTGATAGCAACTGATCCCTTGTTATCAGTTGACGCGGCATATGGATCGTACTGGTCCTCGAAGGTAGGTGCTGCAGGCGTGGTGGGTGCTTGGACAGGATAGGCGGTAAATTGTCCTGGAGAGTACACGGAGTCTGGGGCTGGGTGCTTGTAAGCATACCAACGGTGCTGGAGGTCACCTCTGTCGAGCTTGGCAAGGACCTGCTCAACAAGACTAGATGTTGTCTTGTTGACTGGTGTGCCAGTGGCAGTGATGACTTCGAGAAGATGGGCGAACCGTGCAGCGTGAGCAACGTCAACTTCGACCTCCTGAAGGAGGATGCCGGATTGGACCTGCATCAGGAGCGTGATGTCGTCGAAGTTGAGTTGAACAACGGCCTCAGGTCCCATTCCAGCAAGTAGGTGGTGAGCAACTGGGGTGACTAGGCCGCCGTTTTCAATCATCGTCCACATCAGTTCCATGCTAGCCCGCGGCTGAAGGAAGATGCCACGCTTCATCATGAACTGTCCCATAACCTCGATAGCTTCGTCAATGTGCTCTACGATCTCCATCTTGGCTTGAGTAGAGCCAGACTGAGAGTCCCGTATGCGAGCAAACATCTGACGACCCTGACGAAGACCACGTTCCGCATGTCCACTACCAATCAATGCTATGCTATGCATGGCGGTAGGTTCAATGAAGTCGGGCTTCGTCGGCGACAGCTCGAGCATCCTCCAAAAGACCTCGGCTGCTTCAATGTTTCCGGTGCGAATGTGCATGGCTCCCATGGCCATGGCCGGTCGAGAGAGATCAACCTCGGCCGGCAGGTCATCGAAAGCCTGGGTAGCAACCTTGACGGCGTCGCGGTCAGCAGCTTTGATGCAAATAGCAGCCATGGCGATTTGGCGGGCTTGTGGGCTGAGATACTCGGTGGCGTGTACGTAGGCTTCATCGAAGGAGCCGTTCTTCAACCACTCCGGGAGGAAAGCCTTGAGGCCTACGATGTCACGAACCGAAGTGACTTCTTCAGGCGCAGTAAGTCCGCTTTCGATCTTTGACACAAACTTTTGAGCACCCTCTAGGCGATCGCAGACTGCGTAAGCTTTGACAAGAGCGGCGTACACGTCATTGTCTTTCCTGCTGATTTCAATCTCACCATTGTCGTTCGATATTGCGAGAGCCTTGTATTCGTCATAGCACTCGACCGCGCTCCTCAAGTCACCAGACTTGCCGAAAGCGTGGATCATGGGGACGAACATATCAGCAGCCGGAGTTACACCGCGAGATTCCATGTGCGAATAGATTCGCACCATATCCTCTACCCGGTCGCCCTCTGCGCAGGCAGTGACAAGTAGTCGGTAGGTCTTCTCCGAGAAAGTGCGGCTAGATTCACTGCTGACGGCAGCATCAAAAAGCCTCACGGCAATTGACAGTGACCCGTCTTCAGCCAGAATAGCGTAGTCAGTCTCGTGCGATTGGAGCATAAACCTTCCTTCTTCTTCCATTCCGCCATATCGTAGTCGCCTGTCTTCGAAACTCTGTTTTAAAGAAATGACTTCCAAAGACCGGACGGAAAGCAGTTCGAGAAGGGTAGTGTAAGTAGTGGCGTCGGGAGCGACTCGTCGACGAAGCATATCCGAGTATACATCCAGGGCCTTGGGAACAACTTGGTGCTGTGCACGGGGAAGGTGTATCGCTGCGGATAGTAGAGCATTGTACGCAGTGACTGATGGCTTGACATCGGAACGGAGCATAGCCTCGAAAACGGCGGGGACTTCGGCATAGTTGCGGTTGATAGCCAGCTTCTGGAGCTGTACGGTATACTCATCGTGGGCTTCAATTGGGCTGGTGGCGATAGTTGATTCGCTGTGGCTGAAGGTTGGCGATCCTACGAGAGTGTCGTCGATTGTTGCGGAGAATTGCGATCGAGCTTCTTCAATCGCGGAGACTTCGTCAGCGGCTTGTACAGATTCATTGCCGGCCTTGTGCTTCGCCACCTCTTGTGCAATTGCTTCGTCAACCTGTGCAAGCGCAATCTTTTCCGCCTCCTCACTGCCGACAGCCTTCTTGAAATCTTCTACCTGGCTGGTACTGTATGCGCGATTGATGGAGCCACGAGCGGGAGCGGGAACCGGCTCTGCTGTCTCTTCAATTGCAACGCTGCTTTCCTTGACCTCGGCAACATTTTTAGCGCTTGCTGGGTCCCATTCGATAAGCTTGCGGAATTGAAACTGCGACCATTCCTTGTCATCTGTTCTCTGGTGCTTCTGCCAGGCAGTGTAGTATGCGGCTAGACCTGAGTCCTGGTGGTCCGGTTGTGCGATGGCGAGCGCCTTGAGGGCGCTCGTGGTAGACGAAGCAGACGCAAAGGCATGTTGGTTCTTGAGGCCTTTGCGGAAGCGATCGTGTTGAAGGGAGGCGAGAGGGTTGTTCTGGCTAACACCAGCAACTACCGATTGAGCATAACCGTGAGTGAAGCCTTTGGCAAGACTCTGGCGCGCGAGGTGGAAACTCTTAAAGACCATTTAGGAATTGGAGGAGCCCTTCAGATGGGAAGGGTGAGACTGGGTGAGGATGGTCAGCACAAGAGGCCTGAGGCGGAAGCCTAAAGACGAAGGTGCTGCGGGGACTCGGAGATAGGCCGGCGCGTTTCACGACGGATTTTTTTTGGTGTTTAGGCAGCAGAATTACGGTTGCGGAGCGCGACTCGTGCGGGTGGGGAGTCGGTACCGACGGACGAAATTATCATATACGTACTATTCTCGAGATCCCTACGCGACGGTGCAGGTTCATTTGACGATGACCGTCAAACAAACGCGCTTTTCGGGTGTAAGGAGGGTGTGGGGTGGTTGGGGAGAAGTGCGCAATTGTGAGCAAATGCTACTGTGGGCTTCGCACTGTGGGGGATAGTCGTCCGGAGACGTCGTCGCAGGGGAATAGGAGAGGGAAGAGGGAGTGGGAGAGGAAACGGCACACTGTGGCCTGGAGGAAGATATTGTGAGCCACGAAGGCAATTTGGTTAGCGGGAATCCAGAAGGAAGCTTCGAGCGCACAGCTCGTAGTCGTCATGAAAAGTTATTAGGACCGATGCCATGGACGCTAGCTTTGCCGAAAAATTATCGCACTAGGCGCAGTGCCGGGGGTTGGTGTAGCGTGTGGGTGCGCAGCGGTCGTCGCCCAGTGCAGTGTGTGAGGACGGGGAGAGGTGGATGTTTCCGGGCCAATGGCAGCCAGCTGCCTCGTCGACAATGTCGGCCCCGGGCAGTGTCTGGCACCGCCGCCGTCCAGGGCGTCCAGGGCGTCCATGGGCTCGCAAGATGAGTCAGGCAGAACGACGAGAACAAGACGGACGGCTGCACCCCACAGGATGTGACGTGCAGTTGATTGATTGCCTTTGCATTTTGCCTCTGTGCGCCCAGCCCGATCGCAGAGCCCGTGTGTAGGCCGCGGCAAATCGCATGGCCATTGCGCGACGTGTACAGTAGTTACTCTACTGTACTTATTAGTAATAAAACTAAGTACGGTCAGGTCAGAACACACCTAATACGGATGCAGTAGAAGCAGAGGCACGTGACATGCTCCATCACCGGAGTCCGAGCATGAGTGTATGTAGTAGCACCGTCGGCCTCTAGCCGCATCCAGAGCGACTCTGCAAAACACTGTCCTCAGCGCTGTGTGCAAGAGAGTCGTGGCATCAGAGACCCACCGCACTTGCAGTCCCTTTACATCAGCCTGCGCACCCCGCAAGCTCACGAGCCCGCCTCAAGCCAGCCTTTCTCCTACGTACCCGTCTGTACTAACAGTTTTGCGCCAATATCGTTGCTCCATCCGACCGTCTTACAAATCCGACTGTTCCATTGTGCCGCTGCCTGTCTATCCCACAGCTGCTCCACTCTACGCCATGTCTTCCTCGGACGCGCCGTTGAGTCCGACTGCCGTGTCTTGTCCGGCCAAAGTCCTAGTCGCCGGTGGCTACCTTGTGCTCGACCGGGACTACACAGGCTTGGTATTTGGCCTGGACGCGAGAATCCACTCTCTTGTAGAGCCTGTCAAGACGAGGTCTGGCGTCACCATCAATGGTATCCTGGTGACCAGCCCCCAATTCCGTGAGGCCATCTGGGAGTATGGCTACAGGCTGCAGGACGGAGATGCCGGGATCGCCGTAACCCAACTCAGCATGTGAGTATCTCATCTTTTTGTCTTACTGGCCTCTGTTCACCATCTTCTTGCTTCTGTGTCGATCAATAGTCGTCCTTACTTTTTCATGTTGCATCGCAAGCCTCTTCCCGTCTATCTGCTCAATCGGGTAATGTACTCGTTGCAACCACCCAATCACACGTTTCATCAGAAGCAATGCAGAAAGCAGCGATGAACACCCACAGGGTTTCCTTGCAGTAGTCCAAAGCCATGCTACCTCAACAAGGTTGCTTTGGGCTTCAGTTTGGACTGTATTTACCCCCGTCTTGCCCACTGTCACATGACTGGTGCGGTGGTTCAGGGTCCACGGATACCCACTTCCCTGCAGCCATCTTCACCGTCTTCCATTCTTTACTCTGGAATTGTGATTTTTCTGACAAACGCAAAAATGACTGACACCTACCCAGCGGCCATGAACAATCCATCGCCCAATCCCGCAACCCCTTCATAGAAACCGCTCTCACTTATGCCCTAACCTACATCCACTCCCTCCGCCCCAACACCCTCATCCAGCCCTCCAACATCCGCATCCTAGCCGACCAGGCCTACTACTCAAACCCGGGCACTGCCCGCACTTCCACCACATCCGACAAAGTCTCTCGCTTCCAAGACTTCAATGTCTCTCTCCGAGAAGCACACAAGACCGGACTGGGTAGCAGTGCAGCCCTCGTCACGAGCTTCACAGCCGCAGTCCTAGATTTCTATCTCCCCAAGAACCTTTTCGACCTCACCACCGAAAAAGGTCAGATGATCCTGCACAACCTAGCCCAGGCAAGCCACTCGTATGCCCAAGGCAAAGTCGGTTCAGGCTTCGACATCGCAAGTGCGGTCTTCGGATCTTGTCTCTACAAACGCTTCTCACCCTCGCTGCTCAGCAACCTCCCCCAGCCCGGCACTGCCGGCTTTGCAACAAAGCTTCGCTCGCTCGTCGAGGGCTCCGCATGGGATACCGAGATCAAGAAGGCTGCCATCAAGATGCCCAAGGGCCTCCGCCTCGTCATGTGCGACGTCGACTGCGGAAGCGAGACGCCCGGTATGGTCAAGAAGGTCCTCGCATGGCGAGCAGAACAGCAGGAGGAAGCAAACAAGATCTGGAACGAGCTGCAGACTGGAAACGAAGCTTTGGCTGCCGAGCTTACTCGTCTGGCGACCGATGAGCAGGGCGAGGATTTCTCAAAGTACGATGCCCTCCGCCAGATCATTTCTCAGAACCGTGCTTTGATTCGCGCCATGGGTGAGAAGTCGGGCGTGCCCATTGAGCCGCCTCAGCAGACTCGTCTGTTAGATTACTGCTCCACCCTCGAGGGTGTCGTCGGGGGTGTTGTACCCGGTGCTGGTGGCTTCGACGCCATCGTTTTGCTTGTACAGGACAAGGATGAGGTGCTGCAAAAACTCAAATCATCCCTGGCTCAGTACAACGATCCAGAGGCCACGGGCAAGGTGGGTGTCATTGGTGTAAGGGAAGAGATGGTAGGTGTCAAGGCTGAAGACCTCAGTCTGTACAAGGAGTGGGAGTAGGTACATTGAGGTCATGTCTGGAACAATGTCAAGGCTAGATAGGAAGATAGAAACAAAAGCCTTAGTGTTCCTGTTTAGGCATTAATATAGAGTGTTAGCCGCATAGCAATTATAAACAATCTTGCAAACACAATCCCTATGTCCTTTAGCATCAAAGCGAATCGCCCTAGAGCCGTAGACATGAAACTCCCTGTGACCGATTCGTGGTAGGACATGCGAATCCAATGCGAAGAGAAAAAAAGGCTCATGTAAAACGCAAAAGACTCCTTTCACAAATCATGAGGTATCATTTCCGTGCTTGTCTGAACTTTTTTATTCATAGATCTTGACATGGACGCCAACCCATTTCCGTTAAAGATCGCCCTGTCCGTCCACTCCCATTTGCTACGCCACCTCCCTCGCTCCTCTGGAGTATGGTACTACGAGTACACGGGTGAGTCGCTAGCTGGAAAAGCCCCGGCAATGCAATGCTTCATGAGACAAAGGAAGAAAAGAGAAACACCTTCGCAAAAGCACGTTTATGCCTTGACGGCGTACTTTCGCTGGGGGAAGTGTGTTTGCTTCTTCTTCTGCTTCTCGGTGACGAGAGAAGCCTCGTGCTTGGTGAGTCTTCGGCGGATGGCGCGGGTCTGCTTGGGGCGGAGGTCGAGAGGAGTGTACCTGCATTGCATTAGCTACTAGCCTTGCTACAATTTTTTTTCCCTCATCTTGACGCACTTCTTGCCCTTGTAGAAGAGCCTGAGCTGAGCCCTCTGGTTGGCGTTGATGACAGTGAGAACCTTAGCGATGCCCTTGCGAACGTCATGAATGCGGGTGAGCTTGGTGTTGGAGCCTCCGGTAACTTTGGCGGTCCTGAGCTGGATCAACTCCCTTTACTTCCGTCAGCATTCCAATCCGTGTTTCCCGTGTTCGATTCCTGGGCGACATACGACTTGAGGTCGGCGAGCTGAGACGCGAGCTCATCCTTGGACTTGTTCCACAGCTGGGCGGTCTTCTACAACGGTTGTGAGTACGAGACGGGAGGCAGTGGTTTGAATTAACGAGGGTTCACGTACGACCTTGGGGGCAGACTACAAGCACTCAGTTAGCATTTGTTCCCTTAATTGTATAATTTCGATTTTTGCGCAGCACCACTAGCAGAGGCTGCGACTGCCAGACCCTGCCACTGCAGGTGCTCTCAGAGCAGCGCAACAAAATATCCCCTCCAGATGCAACATTGAGATCGAAAACGTACCATTTTGACTGTGTGTTAGTAGGACCGGGTGGTGTAGATGGGGTATCGCGTGTCGTCAACGGTGGTCTCGTTGATCGAAATGACTGTGTTGGCCGGAGCGGTGTTTCGCTTAACTTTTCGCCGATCACTAACGCGGACTAGCGTCTTGGCCGTGCATTGCGTAGTCTGCGCCAGGCAGGTGCGACACTCATGATGCCAGAACTCCGAGATCCGCTGCAGCTGCATTCACCTGCAGAGGAAGTGTAACATTCGACATGTCTTCCACCGGGGGAGGATGGGCGCAACTACGCCAGCAAGCGCGCACACTGGAACAGCAAGTAGGCTTCACTCGTTCACTACTGCGGCGCACTTGGCCCGCTTTCACAGCCGCCCTGCTAACATAGAATGCCAGACCGAGACGCTGTTCCACACATATTCACAGTTCGGCTCGACACCAAATATTCCAGCGAAACCCTCGGAGGAGGAGTTGCGGGTAGAGACTAGACTGCAGGAAATCCTTGAACAGCGGGACGCGCTTGTGGCTCAGCTATCACGACTACTCGACTCCGAATCAGCACATGGCTCTTCCGCCGTCAAGCAAAACAACCTTGCCAGACATCGCGAAGTGCTCTCAGATCACCGCCGCGAGCTTGCTCGTCTCAAGTCCTCTTTGAATGACGCCCGAAACCGAGCCAACCTGCTTTCGAACGTACGATCAGATATCGATGCCTATCGTTCAGCCAACCAAGCCGAAGCCGACTATATGCTTGACGAACGGAACCGCATCGACAACTCACACAACATGGCCGATTCAGTTCTTAGCCAAGCATATGCAGTGCAAGAGAACTTCTCCATACAGAGGGAAACGCTGGCGAACATCAACCGGAGAATAGTTGGCGCTGCAAGCCAGGTGCCCGGAATCAACAGTTTGATGGGAAGGATTGGGTCCAAGAAACGAAGAGACGGCATCATACTGGCGAGCTTCATCGCTTTCTGCTTCCTAATGCTCTTATGGTTCAGGTGATTGTCGTTGGTTTATCATATTCATACGCGGCGTTTGGGTGGGTGGGATATCCTTATGACCTTGTTTCGGTCTGTTTTATACAAGGCGACTGAGCCGTCATGATGTACAAGTATCTTACAATATTACAGTGCTTCTTCCTGCTGGAGCATTATTGCGCCTCGGCAATCAGCTTAGCGAACCCTTTGTTCATGTCCTCCATCTCTGTGCCCTCTGCGTTTCCGCTTCCTGCCCATCGAATCTTGCAATCTTGATCCACGAGATAAATGTACCCAACCCTACCGTTTAACAAGCCAATTGTCTCTCGTATCCTCTCGCTGACTCCTTTCCTGACAACGAAGTACTTGCCCCAATCCTCCTTTGGTTTCGAGGCCTTCAGCCGCCACTGGAAGAGTGCAATGATCCATGCCTTCATGGTGTTCTCTTCAATATTGACATCCACCATCTGCGCTATCCCTGGATGTTGTGCAAGCATGTTGTGCAAATTGGTATTCGTCTTGGCTCCAGTAAACGTCTCCACCTGGTTTAACCCCCATTGTGAACTGTACACATTTACCACGCTGACCTTCCCCGCCAATACATTGGTCGTATCTCTGTCTTTCCCCTCCAGTGTATCGCCATGAAAGTTTGGAAAGTACAATGCCGCCTCTTTCTTGAAGATCCTAGGATTTGCCATGAATGTCTTGCCTGACCTGTATTTACGGATGTTCTTGAAGTCGCGAAAATAATTTGTGCCCCATTTCTCCACCAGGTCCTTGCGCTTCTCCAGGTTCCTCTGTGACATCGTCATGCCGGAGTAATCTTTTTTCGTCTTGGGTGTGCTAGCATTTTCGCCTGGTTGCGGGGGAGACTTGAAGCCAATGGGTCGGCCGAGGGGCTTAGGGACGAAAATGTCCTCATCTTTGGGGTCGGGTGTAGGCGCGGACTCGGGAGCCTTTGGGTCCGTCGCTGGTCGGCGTAGACTGTGAGCGGAGGTGAAGGTCCGAGCAAATGACTGCTGTGCAATTGCTGCAGTTACGATGCGTGTCTGACATCTCGAACATATTGAAGGTCTAGACGGCAATATGCGGCGTCGCGGCGCTGATATCCGTAGCTGTAGCATTGTGGACGCGGGGTAACCCAGTATCTCCACCAGGCTACGAGAAGTGATGAAAGTAGGCTTTGGTTTAGCGCAAAAGTGAAGAGTTACGGTAGACCATTACGCCATTTTGAGCAATACTTGGCACGGGTCTATATAGGTGTTACGACCAGCCTCAGAATGTGAAAGACATTTCGCCGCTACATTTATTTAACAAGTTAATTAAGAGATAGTTTGCTAAATAAAATAAAAACTTTATCTCTTATCTAGTCTATATTATTAACCTTTTAATCCAGAATATTATCTGCTATTTTAAACTATCTAAGTCGAAGAAATATAATAATAAAGACATGATACTTGTAACGGGCTGAACGCCCTTTAGATAGCTCCTCG